AGAGAGAGAGAGAGAGAGAGAGGGAGAGAGAGACAAAAATCGAAAGAAATAAGAAAGGGACGAAACGGAGAAGAAGATACCTGCGGCTCTAACTCTAAATATACTTGTTACGCTATCCATAAGTTTATATTGTATCTCTATCGTGACAGAATTTACGAAGTATTGTACGTGATATATTTATACGGGCTGTTACACACTGTCTCCAATCTTCCATTCCTCCGTGCGACACCGGGCGAACGAGACGAACAGGCAGATGAGGCGCAGGCGAGTGCAAACATGAAGAAAAGAGTTGAACAGGGGAGGACGAGAGGAAGAAGGCAGCAAGGAACGAAACTAACCACCGAAATTTTGTCGGAAATTCCCACCGCCGTTCAGATACTATTATCGACCAAACAATTATCAAAGAATTGCGTTAAGAACGAGGAAAAAGATCAGATACCTTCTCTAGAAGGATGGTAACGAATGTAAAAGTAGAAGATGAATAATTTGATGATTAAGAATTTCAGTCCTCTACTACAAAAGGAACGTTCTTCGTGAGGGGGAAATCGCGTGAAAGATACGATCGCCCTTTACCTCGGAGGTGCAAGGTTATCAGAGCCCGATAAATCGGCAACGTTCCTCCACGATGGTCGAACGTCCTTCGAACCGAGATAAAATCCCCTGAAAACTTTTGATTAACGAGTATCGAGCGAAGAACCGCGATCCCACGAGGGAGGAATTAACGATCGGGAAAAAGGGATGTGCTCATCGGGAGAACGAAGAAAGAGATTAAACTGGGAAGTTACTGCTTCGTCCCCGACTGTGGCTCGCGCGACTGTTGGATTCCGTGATGAGAGTCGAGGCGAGTGACTCGCAGAGACAAAAAAAAAAAAAAAAAAAAAAAGAAAAGAAAAGAAAAGAAAGAAAGAAAGAAAGAAAAAGAACGGGTCTGCGAACAAAAGAGGGGGAAATGGACAAGGTGACAGCGGCGGAGGGAAAGCGGCCACGGTGAAAGAAGATTTTAATCTGAGTCAACAGCTGCGGGATGGTGGTCGAGACAGGTAGGACATACCGACAAAAACGTAACACGCTAGAAGAAGAGGATGACAATGTTGGAGAACAACGAGAATTTCTACCCTCAGCCAGTCGTCCCTCGAGTCGAGGGGCGAGAAGGTTGCTGCGATCGAAGAGGGAAACTACTACCCTCTTCCTCTCGAGTCCCCGATCGGCGCACGAATCTCTGTTTCTCATCGGAGCTTTTCTTACCTTTTAAGTCGACGAAAAGAGACTGATTTGTGTACAGGGCAAAGCATTGTGCGTGCGCGGCCACGGGAAACGAAATGGAAAGAGATTTCGAGTCCTTTTCGCGTGCATCTCGCGGACGATCAAATACCGAAAAAAGGAATACCGAGTATCGATAAAAGGATACGATAAGGATCTCTTTAATTTGTATTTATTTTATGGAAATTGTCTTTCCGACGTCGTTTCGGTGGTCACGCGTTTCCAAAAGACTGTGTACAATATTTTTTCGTACGCCTGCGCCGTCGTTCGCGCGAACGCGCGTTCTCCCCTTGGTTTTCTCGAACTGTTACTAGGCTTGTTTCTTAATAAACTTGTTTTTTTGTTTGTTAGAACGGCAGCGGGACTGGTGGCGAATCCGGTGGACGAGCCAACGGGTAAGTACCATCAAACCAATCGATCTATCGATCATATCGTTCAATTACGTCATCGTAATCATGCATTCTCTCTCTCTCTCTCTCTTTCACACTGACTTTGTTCTTACACGCCCTGCAAAGATTTTGCCTTGAACGACACGCGTCGGTATTTTCCTTGGTAGCTTTGACGATTATCGCGCGGAATATTTTTAACGCGGTTGTTATCGATGAATTTAAACGTGGTTTCTTTTTAAAAGCTTAGAGCATGTAAAATTAAAGGAAAAGCTAAATCATACTACGCGTTGTAGAATATTTTTCTAAGAAAGATATTTCGTTGTAAAAATTTCGCGATATAATAATTTTATGGAAATAACACGTACAACTGAGAATTGATCGACAACAGATTTACAAGATAAATTTCCAAGTATATATCTCAATTGAAAGCTCAATAGTTTTCGCAATAAATTCCACTTTCAACGTCGAATTGCTATTCGTAACGTTTCAGATGCCCCGTAGAGATGAAGCGTATAAGATGATGAAGTATAGAAGCGAGCAATAGCAGAGAAGAAATTTTTATCGTTATAACCGTGAATTCCGTGCGTCACAGTTTGCGATAACAGTATCACCGGTGGAAAAAAAGACAGGCATCATTTTCCTTCCGTCCCGTGCGCGTAAGACGGAAAATTCAATAGAAGGAATTTGATTTCGTGAAAACAATTCGCCGCCGGTGAATTCGGGCCCTGATAGAAATGAAATTGCACAAGTTCCATTTCTCATCGAATCGGAAAAAGTTCGGAACTCCATCCTTGTGTTTCCATTACAATTTCTTTGCCCAGCGAGAGCAAAATTGGTAGGTTATTAATTGGCGAGTCAATAACTTTCTTTTCATTACGTTTTTCGTCTCCTATTTCTCAAATGTAAAATTTATGATTTAACATATGTTACGCTTTCCCGTGCAATGATAAACGACGTGTAGATATTTCTATTTGAAATTTGCTTCCCATTTTTTCATCCAAATTTTCTTTATAAATGACGTTCAGATATTTTCATTTGAAATTTCCTTTCCATTTTTCATCCAAATTTTTTTTTTTATTTTTTTTTCAATCATCTCCGAGTTGATGTCACGTCGCGCGAGAAGATTGAAGATAATAAATTACAAAAATTTTATTCAAGGAAAAACGATCTTTTATTGCTTGATGAAATCATGCCTTCCTTTCGTTATGAATTGCAAATGATTTCATCTTCTTTTCAAAATTCGTGGCAAAACTCGGAAGAGTGGAGCTTTGATCTGGTCACTGTTCGACATATAAACCAAGATCTTCGACGAATAACAAATTCTTGAAAGGGGTAAACGCCGAAAGTGCTTCTTAATTGTTGTGAGTCTGATTCTCGGCCTCTTTGCATTTTCGGAAAGTGATCGATAATCTCGTTCGCCCGAACGACGTTTCTTTCTGAAGTTTTTTTCTCCGTGTAATCTACGAAAGCCACTGAATTTGTCCAGCTAGTTCCTTTTTCTACCGATCTGAAGATTCATTTCTTTTCCTATCAATTCGTCTAAAAATTCCTGCTTTCCAATTCGAATAAAATCTATTCCAACAAAACGCAGACGAATTTGTCAAAATTCCAACTCTAACGAATCTCGAGGATTTCACGAAATTCTTATTTTATATTCACAGAGCATAATTATGCCTTGTTTGTATAAATTTAATGAACTGGATTAACTAAATGTGTAACAAATTAATATCTGAATATACAGAGATGCTTCTAGAAAGACAGCGATAATGTCTTTAGCAGGATGTTGAATTTGCTTTCGAAGGTCGTATCATTCGCGATGAAATTCATCAAGTTGAAAGCCACAAACAATTTGTATAATTCCGTTGTCGTAAAAGTCGATCGTCTCTTTGTCCAGCGTTTAGTCGATCGCGTAGTCGAGGACGTGGAATTGCTGATTAAACGTTGAGGCTCGCATAATAGCGATCGATTCTTCAAACTCGCGTACAAAAGACTTGTTTTCCTGTAATTAAATTGTTGCAAGTCGATTTCCTGGATTTAACAGAGGCTGGCTTCCGATTGTAACAAAGACCGCTGGAAATCCAAGAAATCTTTAACTGTAAGCAAAACGTTTGAAATATTAATCGCAAAATTTGTAGGAGGGCAACAACTGAATTATTATCGAGTCGATACGAAATTTTACGAACTTTGAAAGGAGATGTGACTTCAAAACACAGAAATCCCAAAATGTTCAAAATTTTCAATTAAATCCTGTCGTTGATTTCTCGACGAATATTATTCAACTCGATCTCTGTGAAATTTTATAAAACAATAAACACAGTGTAAACTCACGTATTTAAAATTTTAACGACAGTCTGAAAACGCTATTCGCCCTGATGACTTCCCTGCGAGAGACATCGACGTTAATTGCAATTCGAGCTTGCCCCCGATAAAGGGTTGCGTGTTGGCTCAATAAAAAAGAAAAAAAGTGAAAAAAGAGAGGGACGATAATGGGCCGAATGATTTGAAAGTGATGGATTCTATTACACAATCGTTAACAGAGCCGTCTAACGTTGATCCGCAAATTTACGATAATAAAATCTCGTAATAGGTAGCAAAGAAATGGGTCATCGTGTACAGATTCTCGTGTTTATAATCAAGCGCAAAATCTTTTCGTTTCTGATGTACTCTTACAGTTACATTTGATAAATCTTAATTAAGGTCGTATTAGTTAACTTCTCACTCATATCGATGCTCATTTTAGAAAATATCTTGATACACAATATCCGATTAATTTCGGACAAGTGATTCCGTTTTAACGTGGATAAAAGGTCAGAAAGTGTGCTCCGATGATAAAAGGTTGTTGGGGTACCTCAAAACTTTCTGTTCGGTTAAGCAGCTCCGCGTGATCTTCAAAGAAGAAGTTCCAAATTTAATCCGAAAGTTCGATTACTTTCAATCTAATATCGATGCCGGCCGTGAGCCTAATTCGGCGAAGATTTATTACAATCAGATACTTGCTAACACGCGATCGTTTGCCTATAGTTAACCAGCCAGATCGAAGTGCCCATAAATTCCACCACCCACCGATTCATCTAACGTTTAGATTCTAACGTTTGTATAGGCTTAATTACGCAATTACGTTTCAAGGCATAATTTTCATCAGGGAACTGGAATAATTAGACGCTTTGTAGAAAATTTTTTCAATAATTTTCCATATTCCCAATCAAAATCATATAAAATCAGACGAACAGTTACATCAATTATCAGTTAAAAATTTGAGATCACTTGTACGCGGAATTGTTTGTTATTAATTCGAAATTGAATTAATCGATTTCAAACGAAGGAATCCATCGATCCCAAATTTTTGACACCAGGTCGAATCTTTTAAACGAATCTAACATTCAATCCAATCACTCTCCTTTCAGGCATCCGGGAGACAATCCTTTCTACAGCAACATCGACAGCATGCCGGATATTCGGCCGCGCCGAAAATCGGTGCCATTGGTCTCCGAGCTGGTACGTAATCAATTGTCCATTTATCTGGCTGAACAATCCTGCGTCCTACCGTTTATGCATATATGGATATGTACGCGTATATACGAGACGTGTATTCGCGTTGTGCGAATCGTCTATACTAACGAAAATGAAGAATCGACGACGACATTTTGTTGGTTCACCGTTGTCTTCATCGTCGTCGTCGTCGTCGTCGTCATCGTCTATTCGTTCTTTGTCCTCGTCGACGTCGTCGTCAATGTTGTCGGTCACTCCTGATCGTGGTCGTCGCAGATGATTCGAGCCACGAAATTATTTCGCTACTCGTATGATTATTCGATAGTATTGCCAGGCTAGAATGATCGAAGCTTGCATCACACAACTGCCGCTGGCAATTCGACTCGTGGAATAAAGTTTTCCTATTAAAAACTTGGCCCTTATCGTTTTATCGCGAACTTCGGGATAGTTGAAAACGAGAATTCATGCCTCGTTTTTTTTCCGGTTTTTTTTCTCGCCATACTTTGTTCAACTATTAACTCGTGTTAACTGGGTAATTGGATGAAATTCAGTATTAAACGTTTTATCAAGCGCAACAAATAAATAACTTGCAGTAGAAAACTTAATTTAATTGATCGTTTTTTGAATAATTCGAAAGATAGAGAGTACAAAACTGTAACTGTATTGCTTAGAATTCTTATTCAAAGAAATATTCTTTCACATTACCAAGTTCATCACTGTAATTAATTAACCCACAATTATCTGCTTATCTCTTTTGCTCCGAATCTTAGCCGCGATCTTTAATTCAGAATCGACGATATTTTCTGCCTTTCCTCAACCTTAATCTCAACAAGGTTGTTAGGATTAAAGGAAAAAAAAAACCACCAATATTTTTCGCGTTTTCCATTGATAACACGGTGATGACTAAATCGAATTATCTAATTAGTTTTGCAAACGTAGCAAAGCAGTGATTATTTAAATAATAATATAATAATAATTGTTCATCTATTTTCTCTTATTCAGGATCATTAACATCACGTTTCCAATGATAAGAATTTTCTAAAAAAATTACTAACTTAAATTTTCAAATGAAAATCGACTCTTCGATAAAAAGAAATTTTCTGTTCTGCTAACGTCAGCTTTAGTGTCATTATAACCACATTTGGCAATAAATTATTCAACGACCACTGTATTTAAGTTCACAAATCGGCGACCACGATAGACACCGACGAAGGCTTTTCGTGACCAATGCTTCTTAACCCCAGTGAAAATGTGTTATATATTCTCTCTCTCTCTCTCTCTCTCTCTCTTTGTCTCTCTCTCTTTCTCTCTAAAAATATCTACTATCTACAGATGGAAGCAGAAAGGGAAACTTCCATTATGCAAATTTTTTCCTCTCAACCTCGACCTTGCATCCGAAATGTGAGTTCCGCTCCTTTACGAAGTCTTGGTCCCTATCAATAATTCTTGTTACATCAGACGTTTTTATCCCATTGAAAACGTCGAGATCCTTTCAATTCGTTCCTGTTCGTGCTCGATCCTCGCAAGACGACGACGTCGAACACGTGAGGCTGTTTTGTCGCGAGATCGATATCTGTTGTGCCGTTCGTGTCGCCCTCGAGAGTCATTTGCTTACAAGACGACACTGTGGAAAAGTGTTTCACTGCCACGTACTTTAGAAACCGGTATATACATTGCTGGCCATAAATATCAGGACGTTTATTCATTCTATCTTTTTAAAGTCAGCAAGATTTATTTTCAGTTCAAATCTTAAGTCGACATGATTCTCGCTCATTTTCATCTGAAACTTAACTATTGTGGATTGAGTTTCGGTTAGGAGATTTTTAAAAATGACGAAGAAGGTAGAAATATACTTTTAAAGGCAAGCAGATAGTACGATACGTACGATGGATCTTTATATTCGTAAGATGAAATAACGAGGGAATAAAATCATAGAGTCATTTTATTTGAAAATTTTATCGAAAAGTCTCAAGAGATTAAAGTATCCTAATACTTACGGTTGGCAATGCAAATGTGACTGGAAAGAAATGGCATCGTTCTCGAGGGTGACTCGAGTATCGGACGGCCCTCCTCGTCGTGCAACCTGATTGCGTGTACTGCGTTTCGGTGTTACATCGTTTTTCGGTAACCTAAGATTTTTCCAGAGGGGCGTTACAGACGATTTCACGATAAATTGCCAGCCATTTCACTCGCAAGGGGTGGCCGCGTTTAGCTTTCCAGCGAACTTTTAAGGGTTCCTCGTGGCCGTGCGAGTCTATTGACCTCCGTAACAAATACTCGAAAGAAATTGGGAGTACTCTGAGTGTTTTCGGCGATTTCATCTCTTAAGGGGATAATTCGAGATTTAGAAAGAAGATTTATCGTGAGTCGTCTGTCAACCGCCAGCTGTTTGTATACTCCGTTTCTAGTGCTTTGCAGAGTATGTTCGTTCGACGTTATCAAACTTTCTACCGAAGATATCCGAAGATAATTAAGTAGTTTCTTTCTCTGAAAAACGTACGTCGAATGATTCGGTGTGAAGTGGCGACGCAAATGTCACGTGTCCCCTTGTAACCTGTTGCTTAACAGAAACACGAAGAGCAATCGTCGAATTTGCAGACAACTTCCAAATAACTGCAGCTAATTTATTTCGATCGCCTTTCCATCAGTCGTCATGAACCATTGATTTTGAAGAAAATCTCTGTTCAATGTTCTTAAGTATTTCCGAAGTATTTTCCCTGTAACTGTCCGCAGTGTTCTCTCTCTAAATTATCCACTGAAGGCGTTTGGATGCTGTTCGAAATTACGCTCGATATCTATGCAAGATAAATCTCGGTGATATTTCAAGTTCGTATCAAAACCATGTCCCTAGACCAAGATTACGTCGTGGTCGTACAACCATCGATAAATTCCAACTTTACTTCTAACTTGTTAAAATTTATTAGCAACAATGCTCCTCTCATATCTAACCACATCGTGCTATAATACCTTTGTGCTCTCGCGTCGAATATATATCTCAAGAAAAATCGAACTTTTACGAAGACACGTTCTCTCAAAGTCATCACGGTGCAAGAACCGCGCGATACGTTCCGCTGAATTGCTTCGTTTTAACGCGTTCTACAACGTTCGAACGCGCAGTTTAAAAGAACGCGATAAACGACCGCCATTTAGAACGACCGAGGAACTTACTCCGCGCGGAACATCTCCCGTCTCGACTCTCATCTATCTCAGCCATGTTTCCCGAAACGCCGCCATTATTCGAAGCGGAGCGTCCACATTGGCGCGGCCATGTTTTCCACCGATAAATCCGCGTGCTTTTACAACGCGATAAATCCGTTTAGTCCCGGGGCGCGCGTTTTTTGAAACTGTCATCTCGCCGTTGCAACTCGAGGCAGCTTCCCCGACGTTAAATCGTCGACGGTTGTTAAAGGGTTCGTGTCCGTAAAACGTTCGACACTAAGCGCGTCAAAGATTCTTCGACGGGGCGTGCGAAACATGTTCCAACTTCACACGCTACATGCAAGGAGTATATCTCACTTTCAAGTGTTTAGAAGAATAATTTTCTCTCTCTTCTTGTGCGATTACAATTTTTAGTCTTTCGTTTTTTTTTAATACGCCACTGTTTCTTCTATACGCTTGACGAGGAATTTGAAAATCGCGCGATTGAGAAGAACAGAAACAGCGCTTCCGTTGTATCGCATCAATCAAGAAAAAGACATGAATTCATGTAAATTTTATAAAGTGATATACCATTGTGCGATTGATATGTCATATTATAATTAAAAAAAAAAAAAAAAAAAAAAAACGAGAAACGAGTATTTAAGTAATTAAAATGAAAACGATCTTTGAATTATTTACTTGAAGAAATTTACTTATCGAATAATCGTCCTTATGCATCGATCAAATAAAAGAGATGAATTTCTATAAATTTAATAAATTGATACACTTCGCATGTGATTACACATAATTGTAATAAAAATTGACACTAATAATTTTAAAAAAAACGAGATAAATAAAGATACGAAAAATGAAGGAAATAGCTGAAGCTAAAACACTGAAAACGATCTTTTAATTGTTTTAAGATTGTAAAAAATAGTGATTTTTATCCACTGTTGATAACATTTGGAACGTGTTTCTTTGTCGTATCAGTATAAATCTGACGCTTACACGAAATTCCACGTAAAGCGTAGCTTTCGTTTTCATCGACCTCCTTTGCGCTTTGCGTCGCCATTTCGTAGCCGAGTCGTCGCGTGCATAGTTTCCAGGCGCGGCAATGTGAAGAGCCCGCCGCGTGGAAATGATGAAAATTTGCGACTGCAAATACTCGCAAAAATTCGCGGTTCGTTTATTAAACACCGTTCTCCTTTGTCTAACCCGGCGTCCTCATCGTCAATGGGTCGAGCGAAAATTCCAAACAGCCGTTTGAGAAAATTGAATGGATGTCGCGGACCTCTTAGGCATTGTTTCACGCTACAGCTATGTTTGTAGCACGAGAGTAAAGGCGCGTTGAATGAACGCGGTTTTTAAAGATACGGGGCTTTTGAATTGAATTTGGGTTAGATGGTAATCTACGTAATTTTAGAATGAGGATACCTGCTGCTGTACAGCTAAAAAGGTAAGAAACATGTACACTACATAACATGTAATGTTTCATGAACATTTTTATTTTTTACAAAATAAAATCCCCGAAACGTATTAATTTTTTGGACAATACGTGCTATCGTAAAAATATCATAACATATATTTATGTTTGCACCAAATAAATGGATAATAGTGTATGTGTTCAAAAGAAGTTGAAAGAGTAAGAGTAGAATTCAGTTATTTGTTACATAGCATCTGAAATATCTTTTTATTATGCAATAAATAAATGAATCATTATTTGTCGATATTAACATTCACGTAGTTAAAGAATTCAGACAACAGTTTCAACAACATCGTATACGAATCTTAACAAATCGCCTATAACGACGTATAACCTTTAAAAGTCTTCAATCGCGTTCAATCAATCTTCAGCATTCAATTTCAAAATTGAAAT